AAGCCCTGCACTAATTCCCACGCAGGGTATCTTTTTAAAAATCGTATTTATTCATTCATTTATTTTAATTTGACCAGAGAGAGGACCAGTGAGAAAGACAGAGAGAGAGAGAGAGAGAGGAAGTGAGAAAGCAAGCCACCAGGTCCAGGACTCGAACCAAGGCCGGCCATGTGGGAGTGTCCAGCGCCTTAACCACCATGTTACTTGCTGGTCCCATGCAGGGTATTTTTATGTAGATTAAATGTTACTCATCTTAGCTCTATTAACTAAAATATTACAAGTACTATATTGAGTTTTAAAATCCTTATTTGTAAATATTGAATGAATGGTTCCTAACAACTAAGACAATCACCCGTTCAAGAAAAAAAAAAAAGTAACCTGAAAACACAATTGCTCTCATAAGTAGCTACCAGAATAAAGTTGAAGAATGACTGAGCTGTCTGACAAGTCATGATGCACCTTTTTTTTGAGAGAGAGAGATGTATTTCTACAGGCTACGTATGCTTGCCAGAGAGTGAAAAATCACCACCCCCCCCCCGGGGGGATGGACATGCCACAATCCTTCTCCTCCATTCTCCTCTCAGGACTTGGAGTATACACACATACGCGCCCAATATGAGTTTTAAGCCACTAGGTCTGAGACTTTAACCAGTCGACCACGTGGGAGTCCAGCGACATAACCATTATACCATCTGCTATTCCCAATTGTGACGCATTTTTGCATAGAAACACATAGGACAATGCTTCATGACTCTTCCAATGACCCAGTAATTCTGAAATGATTTGCCTGGGCAGGACAGAAAACGATACCATCACTTTAAGTTGCAAACTTTCTCTTTTGAGACAGTCTCTCTAAGTCACTCAGGTTGGCCTAGAACTCACCATCCTCTGCCTCAGTCTCCCAATTGGCTGGGATTCTCAGTATACACCACCATGCTTAGTTTGGTAAACTTTTTTAAATTTAAAAAATAACAATGATCACTAAAGCATGAGGTGCAAATACAAACTTCAAATGTGTTCACCCATGGGTAACAATTAGTCTAGGGCGCAAGGTTTATAAGCTTAATGTATAAATGTTACCCATCTCTCTTCCCCCAACCTCACTCCAACTTCCCACATGAGCCCTAGCTTCAAAAACAAGCAAATTTTGTTTTGTTTTGTTTATAGTTGTTGCTATAAGGTGTGTGCATTCGCTAGAGAGAGACAGAGACAGAGAGGGAAGATGAAAAATTACCCCCACCCCAGGAGGAAGCCAGGCTGCAATCCCTTCTCCTCCAGTCTCCCCTCAGGGTTTGGGGGACGTACACACAGGCGCCCAGTGTAAGTTTTTTTTTTTTAAGAGATTTTTGCTATAGGGAATGTGAGCTTGCTGGAGACATAGAAAGAGACAGAGACAGAAAGCAAAATATCACCCCCAGGGGAGAGGGCTACATGACAATCCCTTCTCCTCCATTCTCCTCTTGGGATCTTGGGCACGCACACATGCACCCAGAATGAGTTTTAAGCCACCGGGTCTGGGATTTGAACCATGGTCAACTGCATGGGAATCCAGTGATGTAACCATTACGCCATCTGCTAGTCCCCCAGCTTGAGTTTTAAGTCCCCGGCTCCAGGACTCAAATTGCAGTAGACTACGTGGGAGTCCAGTGATGTAACCATTATGCCACCTGCTGGTCCCAAATTCTACATATTTTTAAATGTATATTTTATATATACACATATATGTAAAATACATATGATATATATAATACATATGTAAATATATACACATATATGTAAAATACATATGATATATATATAATACATATGTAAATATAAAGCTTCAAGAGAAGATGTCAATGGGGTAACTTTAATATTCTCCTTTACACATATCTACATTGCAGGAATGACTTTCATAACTCAAGTGTACTGTTTATATATATATATAGATAGATAGATAGATAGATAGATAGATAGATAGATATTTTTTTTTTGATAGCTTTTTGCTATAGGGCACATGCGCTCGCCAGACAGACATAGAGACAGAAAGCAAGAAATCACCCCCCAGGGGGGATGGCCACGCCGCAATCCCTTCTCTTCCATTCTCCTCTCGGGATCTTAGGTACGCATGCACAAGCGCCCGACATGAGTTTTAAGCCACCGGGTCCAGGACGCGAACTGTGGTCGACTACATGGGAGTCCAGCGACATAGCCATTACGCTAACTGCTGGTTCCTGTTTTTATATTTGTTAAAAGGATTTACCTAACACTCTAAAATGTTGACAGTTACATAAGAACTAATAGCAAATATAAATTATTTACACCTTATAAGATAATGTGTAAAATTACCCATCATTCTAAAGTGTCCAACTTCTAAACTTTAAGAAGTAAATGGAAAGAGGCAGATGGCAGATAGCATGGTGGTTAAGGTGCTAGACTCCCATGTGGCCAACCACACACGGTTCAAGTCCCAAACCTGACAGCCCAAAAATCACAACAAATAAATAGGTAAGTAAATAAATATTTAAAAAATAAATAAATAAATAGATAGGAGATCCCGGTCCATGTGAGGTGCTATGCCAACGGATAGGTGCACGATGATGTACAAAGCGGACACTGCCTCCCATGTCCTCACTTCCATTCTGCTCCAGTGCTTCCATTTCCAAAACAGTCAACCTGACCCAACCAAAATCAACTTAAAACGGTCTCAAAATGATACATCATATTTGTGGTCATACCAGTAGACTGAAAATTTCTTTAATACTTAATTTTAGGTTTTTATGGGAATTACTTAGTTTAGTATAGCCTTAAGGACACACTTAAGAGCAGAGGCTTAAGAATTAGGGGCTGGCAGGTAACCTGGTGGTTAGACGCACGGGAATCCCACATGGCTGACCACAGTGCGAGTTCCAGGTCTGGCAGCTTGCTTTCTCGCTTTCTTTCTCTCTCTGTGTGTCTTGCTCTGATCAACTTGAAAATAACAATAATGATCAATAAAATAAAGGAAATAATTATTTTTTTAGAGATTTTTATTATAGGGTGCATGTGCTCGCCAGAAAGACAGAGAGAGACAAGGAGACAGAAAGTAAGAAATCACCCCCCAGGGGGATGGCCACGCTGCAATCCCTTCTCCTCCATTCTCCTCTCGGGATCTTGGGCACACACGCAGTGGTACCCGGAATGAGTTTAAGTCACCAGTCCAGGACTTGAACCGCAGTCGACTACATGGGAGTCCAGCAACATAGCCATTACGCCAACTGCTGGTCCCTAAAGGAAATAATTCTTAAAGAAAGAAAAAAAAGGAAGAATTGAACTAGGGCCTGAATCTAGATATGTGATCTTGGAGAAACCTCCATGTTCTCACCTATAAAATGAAGGTAAGATAATAAGTCCTTGGAATATAGCTGTGAGGATTAAAATTAAATGAGATTCTATTGTATAAAAAGGCTTGTTTGCACGATACCTAATAAACACACAATAAATCTTAAAATTATTATTATTATTGATAACAACAGATAACCCCAAGTTATCAGAATTATTTACAACTTGTCAAACATTTAAAATGTGTATCTATGTCACTTCTCCAAAAACAAATATATACACACACACACGTATATTTAAAAGCTTATATATTAACACACATATTTTTCAACACGAAAGCCAATGATTGAAACTTTTTGTTCCCATAACACAACAGTACATTTATGATATCTGTATTACAATAGACGCAAATCTATCGATGGGCACTGTCAAGCACTCCGCAGCAACCACACGTCTAAGCACACATCGAGGACGTGTCTGTTGGGGCAGCTGGGAATATGACTGAAAGGCACGCTCTGTGAAGCTGGGTCCACATGGGATGGTCCCATCCTGAAGCCTTCCTGTACACACCACGTGTGTGCACACCCATGACCTAAAAAAGTCCTTTGGGAGCAGGAATACATCCATTAACATGTTGGATTAAAAAAAGAGTTCTCAGGACCAGCAGTTAGAGTAATGGCTATGTCACTGGACTCCCATGTAGTCGACCGCGGTTCGTGTCCCGGACCTGGTGGCTTAAACTCACGCAGGGCACAGTGCGTGCGTACCCAAGATCCCAAGAGGAGAATGAAGAAGGGATTGCGGCGTGGCCATCCCCCCTGGGGTGGGGGGGCGTGATTTCTCACTTTCTGTCTCTGTCTCTGTCTGGCGAGTGCATGCGTGGCGAGGGCGTGCCCCTTATAGCAAAACCCTCTAAAAAAAAAAAAAAAAAGAGTTCTCAGGCCAGCTGGTGGTACAACAGTTAAGGTGGCTGAATCCTACATGACCAACTGTGTGGTTCGAGTCCCAGACCTCGTGGCTTGGAAAACACACTAGGCGCTTGTGCATGTGTGTCCAAAATCCTGAGAGGAGAGTGGAGAAAAGGGATTGCTGCAGGACCACGCTCCATGGGAAGTGCTTTCTCGCCTTCTCTTTCTCTCTGCCTCTCTATGGCAAGAGAATGTGCCTTACAGCAAATTTCTTTTAAAAAGTCCTAGGGCAGGGGACAGATGGTGTAGTGGTTACATCACTGGACTCCCACATGGCTGATCACAGTTCAAGTCCCAGAGCCAGTCGCTTCAAATTCAGGCCAGGTGCATGTGCATGCATGCATGCCCAAGATCCCTGGATGAGCATGGAGAAGGGATTGTGACGTGGCCATCCTCCGGAGATGAGTTCTCACTTTCTCTCTCTTTCTCTCTCTTTCTCTCTCCCGCATGCGCACATGCCCTAAGGCAAAAAGTTCTTCCCCCCCCCAAAAAAATAGGGTTCCTGTATTGGCTTTGTGGCCTGGTGGTTACTACAGTCAGATTCCACATTACTGACCCCATAGTTTGAGTCCCAGACCCAGAGGCTTGAGAAACATGCCAGGCACATGTGTCAGGCATGTATGTGCATGTATGCACCCCAAATCCTGACAGGATGGAGAAGTGGAGAAGAGACTGTGGCTTGCCCATTCATTCCCTTTGGGGGGTGCTTTGTCCCTCTCCACTTTCTCACTCTGGCAAGAGCACACACTCTCTAGCAAAAAAAAAAAAAAAAAACTCAGAGCTGCAATCTTACAGTAAAGGTTGAGTCATAGTACATTTCTCTTACATTAAACAAAGAAGAAAGAAAAAAGAACTTGTCTAACTGGGGGTAGGTGGATCACTAATTTTCTGGTTTGATTCCAACTCATACATTTAAAATTCTGTAATATTAATATTCTCAACGTGACATAAACAAAAATCTAGCCAGTTATTGATGATTAAAAATTAAATTTAGGGCTGGCTCTACAGCACAGCAGTTAAGCACCGTGCAGAAGACAGGGGATCCCACATAGTCAACCAAGGTTCAAGTCCTGGCCTTGGTGGCACACCCGAGATATGAACACATATTCCCAGGATCCTGATAAGATGGAGAGTAAGAGGAAAAAGGACTGTGCTGTGACCAGGCCCCCCCGGAACATGCTTACTCTCTTTCTTGTCCTCTGGCATAATGAAGAAAAAATAATAATTCAACTTATATATACTAATTTAGTCTATAAAGTACATTCTTAAGTATCATCTCACCTAATCTTTTTAACTACCTAGTGAAGTAGTTTCTTCTCACTATCCCCCAAGCAAGGCTGTAGTTTCCCAAGGGTGTACAAGTTTCCAGGAGCAAACAGCTAAGTGACAGGATTGGACTTGAGGCCAAGTCTTCCAGTGTCACCATGACAGTTGCATTTGCACTGGCCGGGGCATCTCATGAGGAAGACAGAAAACCAGCCAACGCTTCAGGAATATGCATGGTAACCAGGTTTCCTCTTATTTCCTATCCTTAATATTACTATTTCGGTTTAATTTGCCAGAGGGTGAGTACACTAGCCAGAGAGAGAAAGAGAGAGAGCAAGGGAGAGCAAGAAAGCAGCCCCTGTGGGACATAGTCACATCGCAGTCCCTTCTCCTTCACCCCTCCCTCCAGGATTTCGGGCACGCACGCACACCTTCTCAATCTGCTGGGCTGTAGGCAGGCGACTGTGGGATCCTACTGCCTTAACCACCAAGCCATGGGCTGGCCCTCCCCTCCTTATTTCCAACTTCAGTATTTCAAGAACTCTATGATTATATCTAAAAAAAAAAATGCTGAAAGAAAATTCATTACAACTTGGTATTTCCCTGCACTGACCAATTAATAGAAGGGAAACTTTTTTTTTTCCTCTTTATATTTATCCCTTTGTGTTTAACTTCTTTGTAATGGCAGAATTTATTTCACTTACTATTCAGTCTTGAAAAGAGAAACTGATATAAAATAAGCAATAATGTGGAAGCATATTAAGTAAAACTTTTGACATGTCAATAAAATCTACTTAATGTCTCATATACATACCAACAAATTTCAAATCGCAATTGTGAGGGGGTAAAGTTAGTGTTATTACAGTATGAAGTATAAGTACTTAAATCAATACTCTTAAACACAAAGTTCTCTCAAGGAAACCCAGCAGCCCTGAGCAAGAATATGCCAAGAGCTCCACATAAAACAGAAAGCTGGAAGAGATACTGACCAAGCAGCTAAGACAGACATGTCTTTGATTTCCTGTGTAAGTTCGAACTAAGCCCATATGCATCACAACTTATGCTTACAGTTTCTCAAATCGGTAAAAGGGACCAGCCATGCAAATAAAAATACCCTACGAGTTCAAGAGCCTGAAAGAAGTCGAAGTCCTAAAGACAGAAATAATGTAAAGATAGGATTTTATTAATCTAACACTTAAAGTACAACCGACCCGTAAGCTTGAAACTGCCTTTTCTTTCGGGGGCTGCACAGAGGCCTGCACATCAATCCTGAAACAGCGAGAACTATGTGATAGGTGGGAACGTGCTTCTAAATGCAACGGAATGCTTGTAAGGCTACACGCACAGTGACGCGGCGAGCATGGTACTTAAAGCATCTTATCTACATAATCAGCTAGTTTGGATATTTTACCAGGACCAAGATTATGAACAAAGAGATTTTCATTAGCTTTTGGACTCTGTGAAGTCAACCAAAGGCCTGCAGCAAAGAATACTATCTGGAGAGACAGAACTGAAATCCAGTCAAAATTGCTATTGGCTAGTTGTCTGACTTGGAGCATATATCACTCAGGGACAAACTGAGGTTTAAGGATACTTTAGGGACAGCAAAACATTCTACGGAATTGCCACATTATTACCATAATGCCAAAAAAAAAAAAAAAAAAACTCAAGGTCTTATTAGAACAGCCTGGACTTCTGGTCAAATTATACTATAAAGAGAGGGAAAAATGTGAAGCATGCGATTTGTTTTAATAGCAATCACTACTACTGTTGCTGCTGCTGCTTATTCTAAACATTTGTTGAGCCCCTGTGATGTGCCAAGCACTTGGCTAAGCACTGTTCAAGATTTTAACATCTAATCCCTGTAACACCCCCAATATTAGTTACTAAAGTAAAAGTAGGAGAACCCTTAAATTCATGTTTTACAAATGAAAATAAAAATTATTAAAGAAATCTCACTTCACCTTTCTCTCCACCTTTCAGGCTGCATGTATGAGTATTAAATTTATACTAAAACAACATTTATTTTAGTTAAAGGGTGCTGATATTCAAGATGCTGACAATTATTACAGAAGAACCACAGAACTCTGAACTTAAATACTGGCACCAAAAAAATCCTTCCATCCAACTTTCACTACTGAATAACAGTCTCTACCTTAGAAAAGGGGGAGGTGGCACATGCAGCAGGCCTGATAATAATGCCCACCCCAGCAATCAATGATGCTACAATTATAAAGAGACCTACATCACCATGCGTAAAACATAATTTGCAAGTGCTAAGTCAAGTTGTGACTACATATTTTACATGTAACTCTTACAATGGCTTATAAAAAAACACAAACACACAGTAAACCAAGATAAACTAAAATACTAGGTTGTTTCTGAAGACTCACTTTAGAATTTCAGCAGCATAATAATCATATTAGTAATGACACTTTACTTGGCAGAAAGTTCTTACAGGCTTAAGAAGCTGTGTGTAAAATGGAGTAGACAAGAGGAAAGGGTTACCCGTGCAGTTTAAATCAACTACAGGTCCCAGCATGCACTGCTCTAATCTGAAGTTAAGCAAGAACTGCAATGCATCCTGGGACTTGTAGTAAGTAAGCCAATTCACCCTATCACAGCAAGTTTCAAGACAGTCTGAACTAACTAGCACAATATGACTAGATCTCATCAGCACCTAAGGAAATTTAGCCCTAATTTATTTGTTCTCTCCTCTGGCACACGGTTTCTCTAGCACACACTGGAAAAATTAGAGTTCATATTTAGATAATTTTCTCACTGAGAAAAAACTTACGTAGGATAAGCATATAAAAAAATGCTTAGGAAAAAGATCTGACGTGACAAAAAAATATAATCTTTGAAATAAGTTTTTAAAGTTTAGTCGGATCAGTTATAACAATCTCTATGCCCCCCCCCCAAATGTTTTAACTGTTTTACCAGGTTTCTTTTAAACAGCTATTCAAGATACCTTATAAATATTTTCCTTGAGAAATTCTCACAAGCAAACATTTCCCATACTCTAATACTGTCCACTAGGAAGTCTATCCTTATAGTAATACAGACCAACCACCACAAAAACACAAATACTTCAGTTCTTCTATTGTCAAGTCCTTAGTCAATATTTAAACCCTCTACTCCTCACTCCT